GCATCCCCTCGTTCTGTGTTTTCTTTATCGTTTCTATTTCAGCTTTCAATCCTTCAACTGTTTGAGTTGTTTCCTTCATTTGTTTGGTTATTTTTTCTTGGTGCTCTTTAGATTCTTTGAGAGATTTGTTTATTTCTTGAATTTTTCCCCCATTTCATGGATTTTTTGTTTGTTTGTTTTTTCTTCTATTTCTTTAAGGGATTTCCTCGTTTCTTCTTTGAGGGTCTCTATCATCTTCATAAAATAATTTTTAAGGTCTGTCTCCTCTGCTTCGTCTATGTAGTGCTTTTCAGGTCTTGCTGGTGTTGGTTCCCTAGATTCTGGTGGAGTCATGTTGGTCTTTCTATTGCTGAGTGAGTTCTTATTCTGTCTTCTTCCCATCTCTTCTTACAGTGGGTGCTGGTGGGGTCTTTCTGTCTCCACCGGTCTCCTTCCTTCCTGAAGCTGAAGCTGGGGATGCTGACACTGAAGCTTAAGCTGAAGATGGGGTTGCCGGAGGTTGGGGCCTGAAAGGGCTGATGTCTTTCCTGTGTGGGTGGGTCTTCTGGATGCCAGGAGCAGCCCTGGAAGATCGAGGGGATAGGTGTTGCTCAGGGGATGGGGAGTGTCCCCGCTGAAGACCCAATCTCACCTGAAGCTGGGCTTGCTGGAGTTTGGGGCCTGGAAGGGCTGATATCTTTCCTGTGTGGGTGGGTCTTCTGGATGCCAGGAAAGGCCCCGGAAGATCGAGGGGATGGGTGTTGGGCAGGGGATGGGGGATGCCCCCCCCCCAGGCCCAATCTCACCTGAAGCTGGGTTCGCCAGAGTTTTCAGGGTTTACAGTTTTAAATGTCACCAGAAACCTCCTGTGTAAAGAACTTAGTTACCAGCTGATAGGCTTTTGGGGCAATGATTGGATATGAGGGTTCAAACTAACTTCATCTGTGGGTTCATAATAAGTTCACAGCTGAATGGATATTAGGAAATGGTGCCTTGCTGGAGAAAATGGGTCATTTAGAGCATGACTTTGGAAAGAAATCTGCTCCCTGTCTGCCATGGAATGAGTCTCGTTGCTTTACCATGTTTCCTGACATTGGTTGCTCTTCCTTACCTCAGGCCCAAAGCAATGGGAGCCAGTGGCCAAAGCTGTAGCCACACTCCAGCCATTAGTTGATTTGTACTCGGCAGATATCAGCTCCTACCCTGTTCCCTAACCTCACTGCCTTGTAGCCTAAAGAAAATGTTTATATTAGGAGCTGGGACAGGAGCATAGTGTAAGCCTCTGAGTTCGAGTCCAAGCTCCATAAAAATGAACAGTAGTGGTATTTGATTTTTCTTCATATTACATAATTCTTTTGCCTTTTGACATTAAAAGGATCACAGAGAATATGCTTATAATCTCAGTTTTCACCTTGGCAAATCACTATCTTTTCATTTCTTGAATCCGAAGACATAAATCTCTCCTACCTAAATCAACTCGTATCCTCTCCTGTGTTCCAGGTGACCAGAGACTACCCTATTGTCCTCATTTTGAACCTCACTTCAAGTTACTGTTTTCCTACCCTCAACTTTCTCTGAGCTTCCATGTGTTGAGTAACTTAACTGTAGCCTACAGCAGTTTCTAAGGGAGTGTACCATTTCCATGCTTTGGGGCATGTTTTCACCTCTGTTGACACTCTGCTACAGAGCCGTGCACACCATTGCCCCACAGATGATGCAGTGTGCCTGGAGTCTGCACGGCTTGGTGTCCTGCTCTCATGCTGTTGGTCCACAACTGAGGCGTGTCTCTGATTACTCTCTTAACTCTCCAGGTAGAAGGTCTGATGGTTTTTACATCTCTGTTGACAGCCTAGGACGGAGTGAGACATCTTCATAGGGTCGTTATACTGATTCTACTTTGGTTTTTTTGTTTGTTTGTTTGTTTTGTTTTGTTTTTCAAGACAGGGTTTCTCTGTGTAGCTTTGGAACCTGTCCTGAAATTAGGTCTTGTAGACCAGGCTGGTCGCAGACTCACAGAGATCCGCCTGCCTCTGCCTCCCAACTACTGGTGATTCTACTTTGTTTATTAGAAATTTAAAAATAGTGTCTATTTTTGCCGGGCAGTGGTGGTGCACGCCTTTAGTGCCAGAGGCAGGTGGATCTCTGTGAGTTCGAGACCAGCCTGGTCTACAAGAGCTAGTTCCAGGACAGGCTCCAAAGCTACACAGAGAAACCCTGTCTCAAAAAAAAAGTGTCTATTTTCCCCCACTTGGTATATTAAAAACTAGATTACACATTGTTTCTAAATGGAGCATCTACTTAACACATTGTTTCTCTTAATCCTCCCAAAGCCCTGATGGAATTCAAGACTCCATTAGAAACAATACCAACTATGTCTACACAATTCCTGACAGAGATAATATTATTGCCCCTTTTCTTTGAAGTTCACTATAACCAAGAAAATATCCTGAAGTAAAGAACTAGAGTAACCCAAAGAAAGAAAATGAAGAACTGACTGTGATAACTTGGATAGGTTAGTGTGTTTAAGACGCCTACCTACCTATGCATGAGAATGTCAATGGATGGTTACTTAAACTCCTGGGAAAGCACAAGGAATGAAGAAGACATCAGAACTACTGTGCTTTGGAGCAGTCGTGGAGGAGTTGCTTTGGAAATAGAGGACATGAGTTTGTTCAGTCTTTAGATGAGATAAATTAATCAAGTACCCAGAGGTTACTAGAAGGCATTATATTTTCTTTTTTTTTTTTATTTTTTTTTATTTAGGTTAGAAACAAGCTCATTTCACATGTCAATCCCAGCTCCCTCTCCCTCCCCTCATCCCCTGCGCTCCTCACCAGGTCCCCCAGTCCCCACTCAATCTCCACTCCGATCCCCACGGAGGGTGAGGCCCTCCATGGTGGATCTCCAAAGTCTGTCATTTCATGTAGGGCAGGGCCTAGGCCTTCCCCCAAGAGACCAGGCTGAGAGAGCATCCCTCGTTGTGGGATGGGCACTAAAAGTCTATTTGTACACCAGGGATAAATACTACCCAAGGCCCCATAGATTACCTAGGTCTCCTCACTGACACCCACATTCAGGGGATCTAGGTCAGTCCCATGCTTTCTACCCAGCCATCAGTCTGGGGTCCAAGAGCTCCCCCTTGTGCAGATTAGCTGTTTCTGTGAGTTAAACCAGCCCAGTCTTAACCCCTTTGCTCATCAGTTCTCCCTTTCTGTCACTGGATTCCAGGAGTTCAGTTCAGTGTCTATCTGTGGGTGTCTGCCTCTGCTTCCATCAGTCTCTGGATGAAGGTTCTGTTTCCCAGACTCTCTGGCAGTGGGATTCTTTCCACATGGACCCCCTTCTAAATGGGAGCATAAAAGCTGCTCAGCTGTGAGTGACTGTAAATCAGACCTGAACCCTAGAGAAGGTTCGGGGAAAAGTAGCAGAGAAAGAAGGTCTTTGGAAGCAGTGGGCCCCCTCTCTCTTGAGTTCAGGACTTCGCTGGTGATGTTTTACTAGTGCCCAGCGTGTGCGGGGATCAAGCCCAGGGCCTCGGGCATAGCAACCTCAGGAGCATTGCTCTCAGCTTTCCATTCCTGCTCTCGGATTGTGTGCATCAGCTCCTTAGTCGCCTTCTTCGGTTCTGTTTCATCTCCAGTAACCATCCTAACTTCAGCTTTCTGTTAAACCACTGACTAGTCCAGCCAGAGACCATTTATTAACCGGATCATTTTCCATGACTGTCTTTATTTCTGCTAGTTCCTGTTCTGTCCTTCAGCACTGTCATATCCTGTCTTGTCCCTGAAATTACCCTCAGAGCTTTGGTGGTATAGCTCAGCTCATTTAACTCACCTTGGCCTCAGTTTTTTGTTACTGGTTTTTGTTTTTCTCCGCATAAATCCAAATCTATTCTTTTCTCTATCCTAATTCCATTACATATGACAAAGAGTAAAATAGAAATCAGGAAGAGAAGGAGAATGCCACTAGGAAGATGAATAGTCCCCATTAGTTCTTGATTAATCATTGTTACAACTACAAGTTCAAAACAATTATGTAAGTAGTCCTTTTAAAGCACCAGCCAAGAACTTGACATTGAATTAATAATTTCTGTTCTATCTCTAATCACTATATATACATTTCCTCATTTATAAAGAGAATTGTAGCTCCCCTCACCATCAAAATAATAAGAGTCCCAAAATTTGAGCTAGTCAGCATAAGCAGTGAATTTATTTAACTTTTTCCTCTCTGAGTATTAATTATGTAACTGGTGACAAGCTCATTCTCAAATACTTTCTGTCCTTTCTGTGTTGTTCAAAATATGAAAGTTCTTTCCCCATATACATTAACGATCTGAACGCTGCTTCAAATTTCTCTAGGCATTTGGTTATTCTCTGTCTGATATTCAATCCTGACAGTTTTCAGACTGACAGAAAGGACTGTACATTAAACAGCTGCATAACACCACCTGGATTCTGCCCTAAGTTTTTACTGTGTTGGTTTTGTCACTGTCATCATCTATCCATTTGGTGTTGCTTGCACACTCCAAAATAAAGGGCAGAATGAGGATATTTCCCAGAATGCTTCCTTGTGTCATTAGCTAGACTTCTGTGTTGCTCTAGCATCTTGTTGTAGTAAATGTTAGTGCAATGAGATGCACAAGTCATAAGTGCACATTAGCTAAGTGTTGACAAAGACTTCGACCTACATAACTCAACCCCTTTAAACCTCCAGAAAGTCCCTCATTCTCCATCCCAAGGAACTTTCACCACACCACACCATGGACAACTACTGCTGAGGTTGTTTTCCACTATAGATGCAATGAGATGTCACATACGGCTTTGTGTTTTGATTTGCAAGTACCAACCAGGTATGAAGTATAGAGTGAATTGGACATTGACCAACATCTAAATACTTTGTGTTAAATGAATTGGTTTTCACAATTTGTTTTGTACTGACTGCTGCCTAGTCAGATTACCTGACTAGTATGGACAGGATTTTACAATAATCATAATTCTTTTTTTTTTTTTTTTTTACCTCAGAGAACCGCCACAAGGAGCTCATTTTCTTGCCAAAAGTCTGGACGATGCCTTAAAGCTTATTGAACAACCAGACTTAGCAGATAAAGTGGACATGATTTGGATAGTTGGAGGCAGTTCTGTTTACAAGGTAAGTAGAGCCATGTGTAAGTAGAAAGAATTCCCTGCTCCTAGTCATGGCCACAGAAAGCAGCACATTATCCCAGCTGTGAGCTATACAGTTGTCCAAGTGAATTATTTGACAGTCATGCAAAATAAATACAAATGTAAAATTTTTAGTTTATGCCAGTCTATATGTTTTCTGTATGAAATCATATTCATTATGATGTGACATATTTCATGTGCTTTAGTCATATTCACCCCTCCCACTGCCAGCCTCTTCCTCTTCCCAACACCCCTACCCCAACTCACCAGCTCCCATCAACTTCAGTACCTTATTTTAAACTATTTTCAAATTGGCAAGTAATCAGATGATCTGAAACATGCATTTGCAGAGTGGATAAATTGAGATACTCTTGCTTATATTTGGTTATGAGAACACTTGAAATCAACCCCCAGCGATTCCAAGAGCACAGTAAGACATTGTCCCTAACCACAGTCACCATACAGCTCAGTGGATCCCTAGAACTTATTCTTCCTGGCAAAGAGCTTCCCACATGCTAGTCATTTTCCATTCAAAATACTAGTTGTTTCCAGCTAAAGATCAGTCACTTCCTTGAGCATAGTGCTCATACGGTACGACTCCCTGGTCCCCAGATGTGCTCTAGGTGGGCTGCTGTGCCTTTGGCTCCAGGAGAAATCCCATGCTGAGAATAGCACGCACGGTCTCTCGGGCAGCACAGGCTGTCAGGTGGAAAGCCCTTCCTCAGCAGTCTGCCTGCCTTGTGAGGGCAGAGGAGGATGGCACGGTCCATACCATAGTGGAAAACAATGTGTAAAGCAGAAAATATTCTTTCCAGTTTGTTTGTTTGGATATTCTTTGGAAAGATTAACATTTATGAGGAAGAAAAACCAGTCCTGCCCTTTGGGGCATATGAATATATATATATGATATGTACACACGGAGAAATTATTTGAGGAAGAAGAATTGCAGATTCCTGAGCTGATTATAAATACTCCTTGTCTTACATTCCTGATTCCTAACTTGTCTCTTATTAAAATATGTTCTGTAAACACTGAGTACTAAATGCACTTATATAATTAGATCTACATTAAGGAAGTAACGGCCTGCAGCTAACCATCTCGAATGCTGTCCTTTTGGCCTGTCCATGGCTGCTGTTGCTGTAAGAGTAAGAAGCCTGTGGCCCTCCAAGCCTGAGTACTCATCATATGGCCTTTGACTGACAGCTCTCTTGCTTGACAGAGAGCTTCAGTCGTGCTTAGTCCCTGTCAGCTTGTCTGGTTTGGGCTACAGTGGGAACTAGTCAAGTATTTATTTGCTTGTAGCAGTGATAATAAATGATTTAACATGAGTTGAAATACTGAAGGGAAAGTTTTCTATGCTAGTATTTGGAAATTAAGAATAACAGCTTGGTATTTTATTTATGTGAATAGTTTTTCTTCTTCCTCTATGTGTTTGAGGATCAATAGTTATTAATGCTTTCTTAGATCTGTATTTAGGAGTTATCTTTTCCTTAAAAATATAAGCTGTTTCCTCCAAGGCAACTCCTGAACATGTAGCCTGCCCTGGGGTATGCTGTCTCTGTACATTGTTAGTTATAAATTATGTAACTAATTTTAATTAGAAAATTAACACTAATTATAATAACATTATTAATGAAATTGATGTTGATTATATTAAAATATTAATAATAAAATTAACATTAGTTATAATAAAAACAGCATTAATAATAAAATTAACATTATGGACAATGGCTTGGAGAGTTATTAACCAAAACAGACTGAGTGCCATTATTAGCAACAAGAGGCAAGATGATTTCCCTGCTTATAGAGAAATGGGGGCATTTTTAGATAATGACAGAGTAATATGTGTACTGATGGGGTAGGGAGCACGGCTCAGTGCACTGATGGGGTAGGGAGCACGGCTCAGCAGTTAAAAGCTCTTGCTACACAGTCATTAGGACCAGGGTTGAGATCCTAGCACCCACTAACAGCAAACAGGGCATCCTGTAAACTTGCTCAGTTCCAGCTCTGAGTGATTCTGTGCCCTCTTCTGGCCTATGCACACACCGTACACTTACCCACACAGACACAAATAAGTAAATGAACAAATTAACTCTTTTATAGAAATGGTGTCCTAAGTGTTCCCATAGTATTTTCTCTTTTTTTTTTTTTTTGTTTGTTTTTTGTGTGTTTGTTTGTTTTGGTTTTTTGTTTTTGTTTTCGAGACAGGGTTTCTCTGTGTTGTTTTGGAGGCTGTCCTGGAACTCGCCCTGTAGACCAGGCCGCCCTCCTCCCATGGTATTTTCAACAGTGAAGATTTCACTTTCTTACTCAAGTATACAGATGCAGACTTACTTTTCTTTAGAAAAGCAACTAGGTCATGAGGAGTGAAGCCTTGAGAGAGCCTAATTGTAAGAACTTTTCAGTAAACAAGACCAGAATGTATTTTCATAAATGCCAATTATGACTAGCTGCCATTCCCAAGGTAACAGAAGCTTTACAGTAGAGGATGTACATCTATCGTAAGTGTGAGGGGGCTGGAGTCATGGTGCAGTGGTTAAGAGCACTTGCTGCTTCTTTCAGAAGACTGGGATTCAGTTTGCCACAGCCACATCAGGTGGTTCACAACCGACTGTAACTCTGGCTCCTCAGGCCCCCACGGGTACCTGTACCCACATACACATAACCACACAGAGATATAGTACCTACAAAGAGATGTAATATGAAAATGACATGAACAAATCTTTTCTCAAAATGCTTTCTATTGTTTGAGCAACAGTAAGCACGGATTTAATGCCTAGTACAAACTTAATCAAAACAAGAATCTTCTAGTCTCTTTGTCTTTCAACACGGGTTAAGGAGAGTGATACCGTCTGTTTTGTTTTAAAGGAAGCCATGAATCAGCCAGGCCATCTCAGACTCTTTGTGACAAGGATCATGCAGGAATTTGAAAGTGACACGTTCTTCCCAGAAATTGATATGGAGAAATATAAACTTCTCCCAGAGTAAGTACTAAAATTATTAATTAGTCAGAAGCACTTTAGGGGCTAATTACAGAAGGGAAACAAGGAAGGACAGAGTACAATGATACACGTGTATGAAAATTAACACATCACAACACAACCCATGACTTGACTATTGAATAAAAAACTAAAAGTAAAAAGAGGAAAAGAATTACAGAGTAACTTCTTTCAGATTTGACTTGAAGTAGCAAAGAAAAAAACGTGCAGGGCCTGCCAGTTTTCTTGTGTTTAAGAAAACTTCCTTCAGCTGATTCTTCTGAATTGAAACATGCCCCTCTGGAGGAAGGAGAGAAGGTCTAAGAGTCAAGAAGTAAATCCACTTTATGAGCCACAGGAAGCTCCTCAAGCTCAGGAGTCTCGAGGCCCTCCCTGGAGGTCATGGGTGATGGCTGTTGCTGGAGGAGAGAGTGGTCGGCTGAGCTGCCTTCCAGCTGTGCCAAGAGCTCCAGGGGTGCAGCGCTTGGGTACTGTCACCTGCTAGTGTGGGCTTCTCACAGCTGCCTTTTAGTCAGCCACCCACGCTCCTGCAAGTCACACAAGTAAACTTACCAGTTCACTAAGCTGCATTTACAGTCATTTCTTTGGTGTATTGCCAGTGCCCTACCTAGAAGAGAGGTTTGTTTACATCCCTAAAAAGATACATTATAGGAAATTTTGAAGTCTACTTTAATAGAATTGGAAATGTTCGGGCTTTAACAATATTAGCGGCATCTAGTACAGCTGTTGCTGGTTCATTCTGGGGGATTGAGGCCCGTGTCAGGCACTGTGAAAGCCATGTTAATTCTGCCTCCTGGTGCTGCTGCCCATCCTGGAGACAACTCCTTGAGAGGCCTGAGACTGCGGTGTCTAGTGGATACTGCAGCATGAGGGACCCTCTCTGAAGAAGGCGTCCACTCTGAGATCAAGATCTCAAGAAACAGCCACACAACAGCAGAAAGAGTGGTCAGGAGCAGAAATAGGGAGTGCAGAGCCTGAGGTAAGGATGGAGTTGGCCTGATCTGTGATCCAGGAGGAGGCCAGGGGCGTTGTCCCAGCTCTAAGGCAAACACACTGGAGGGGAAAAGGGGGAGTCTGGGCTCAGGTGACACCTGAGGGATGGATGGTTAAGGTGGCCACGTTGTGAAGTTACCAAAGAAGAGCTACCTGTGTTCCCAGCAGGAAGCCCCTGACCTGAAAACCTGGAGCACTTCCATTTAAAAGCACTCCACACTGTTAGCTACAGAAAGTAAAAGAAAACCTTGATTGTATCAGCACTTTAACACCAGTTCTTAACACATTTCTTCAGATAGTCTCAACTGTTTCTAGTAATTATCCTGTGAGTGTGAATTTGTTTTTTACACATCCCCTAAAGAAACATGAACAATTTAGTCTAGATAAATGGATGGTCAAACTTTAGAATAATAGTCTTGTTACTCTATGGAATGACAGTATCGGATCTCATAAATTCTAATTTCAGTGATTTCCTTGGACTCTTAACTCTAAAGTAAACAGAAAGTCGCAAACCATACGCAGTGTCAGTCCAGGCTTTGCATAGGCTCCTAAGGTTTTGAAAGAAAACCACTGGTCATTTCATAAAATGTTAATGTGAAATTCACACCCTGTGTGTTTTCTGCTTAAATTGTGGATTCTCACATTATGTGGGTATAGGTCTCAGCTCTTATTTCTACTAACAATAAGAACAGACTGCTATGTGATAAGCTTTATTCAAATACCGTTTCAATGCTTGCTGTTTTTAATCAGAATTTCTCCATGGCGCTGACCTTTAAGGATCCTTGACAACTTAAAATAAATGCCGCTGTGACTCTCGTGTAACTTTTTTTAAAAAAGCAAAACAAGACTTTTGTGAACACAGGTACACAGCATGACATTCACCTCTTGACTGAGTAATTCAGCAGTCTTGCTATGCTTACGTTTATTCATATATGTCATCACAATTCAGTTGATTATAAATGTGACAGTATTTTTCTGGACTCCTATCTCTATCCCTTTGGTCTGTGTGTAACACTGTGCTACTACTGCACAGTCTTGTTTTGGTTTTGACCAGGTCTCATGTAGCCCAGGCTGGCCTGGAACTTACTGACTAGCCTCGGATGACCACCTGACTCACACCTTCCTCTCCTAGTGTATGCACAGATAGCCATCGCTAATTCTAACCTGCAACCAGGAGGCATAAACCTTTTAGCTTTGTACTGTTTCAAGATTGCTTCTGCTGTTCTGGGTTCCTTGAGTTTCCATTATGAACATCATGATCAGTTCGCTGGTTTCTGACAGAAAGCAAGCTGGGATGCTCATAGGTATTGTATCCATGGGTCACTTTGAAGAGAACTGTCTTGAAACAATATGATATCCTAAACCTTGAGCTTGTTGTATGTAGCTTTTGACTTAGGTAGGTCTTTACTCTCTTCCAGTAAGTAACACTGTTGCCTTCAGTGTCTTGCAGCACTCGGAGTCTATTTATTCCTTTTGATGCTATTATTTTGTTTTTAGTCTATTCACTGCTAGTATATCAAACTACAAGTCACTACTTAGTGATCTGATGTCCTTCAACTTCATAGTTAGAGCTTAATAGTTGTATAACATTCATCTGGTACCCTAAAACTTCTAGAACTACTAGTTATAATTGTTAGTACTTCCTTAGCACTAGTTATAATGAAGTAAAGACAAAAGTAATAACTGTCCCGTATTTAATGTCGTCTGCAGTTTTACTCCCTCTGTTTCGTCACATGTTCATTATTTCTTTCTTTTGCCTGATTATCTGACCCAGAACCTCCAGCAAGGTGAATAGAAATTAGATTGAACATCTTACTTGTCTTGTTCATGGTCCTAGTGGGAAAGCTTGTGACTCTGTCACACGAAGGAAGGTCCCTTCGAGGTCTAGTTCATTAAGCGCTTTGATATTGAAGATATTGCTGCATGGTTCTTCTGAACCATTTGACACTAATAATACAGTATATTACATGATTGGTTTTCATAGTAAACTAATTTTGCATTTCTGAGGCCAATTCTACTTGATAAATTGTATGTGATGTTTTTTATATGTTAGTAGAGTCAGTTTGCTACCATTTACTCAAGGATTTTTGCATTTGTATCCCTAAGAGACATTTGGTATCTGATTTTCTTTATCATGTGCTCAGCTGGTCTTGGAATCAGATATGTGGACTTGTCGGGTGAGTTAGGAAGTGCTGTCTCTTGTTGTTGCTTGGAAAAGCTGAGGAGTGTGTGCTCGTGCTTCCCGTCACAGGAGTTTGTGGTGAGTGGACTGAGACAGGACAAGGCCATTGCTGTGACGTGGACATTCTGAACGATGTGTCAGGAACAAAACACCTGTTCCCTAGCAGCTTATGATAGCCACCTGTTCTCTGGCCTGTGCTAATATCACAGCAGCCTCCTTAACATGGCGTAGAGAAAACCTCCGTAAGGAGGTGACCTTTAATGATGTTCTTCATGTTGTGGTGACCCCAACCATAAAATTATTTATGTTGCTATTTCATAACTGTAAATTTGCTACTGAATCATAATGGAAACATCTGATATGTAGATGTTTTTTTGTTTTTTGGGGGGGTTTTTTGGTTTTTTTTTTTTTCTGAGAAAGGGTTTCTCTGTTTTGTCTTGGAGGCTGTCCTGGAACTCGCTCTGTAGACCAGGCTGGCCCCAAACTCACAGAGATCTGCCTGCCTCTGCCTCCCATGTGCTGGGATTAAAGGCATGCACCACCAACGCCCGGCTATGCAGATGGTTTTAAGGGACCCCTGTGAAAGGGTTGTTCAACCACCAAAGGTGTTATGATCCACAGATTGAGAACTGCTGCCCTAAGGAAAGACCATAAGTATTAAGTGCCTTGACCAGCAGGGCACAAAGACGGTCTATCCCACGGGAACCTGGAATGAGGGGACAGGAGACAAGAGAAGTGGACAGCAAGACAACATGGCTGATCAATGCATTTAACGAGAATCTCGTACAGGCTTACATAGGGGAAATGAGGTAGGGCATGGGGCAGAGGAAGGCAGACAATGAGGGAGGGGTTGTTGCCTAGTAACCAGGCCACTGAAGGTGAGCGGATAACAGGTGTTGTTGGCAAGGTTAAAGGGTCGCAGAGGGAGGGGTTAAGTGATCTAATTGTGGAATGTTTTCTTTTTGCCATTGGCTATTCCTGTGAGCCCAAATTCTAGTCCTTAGGAAGCTGGGGAGGGGATGGACTATTCTTAAAAAAAGACTGACAGTATTTACAAGAGGTTCTAAATAGCAATGATCGCTCCCGACAATTGTAGGCCTGTCTTCCCTTAAGACCAGAAAAAAAAAGGAAATCTCTGGACAGTAAGTGTGTTAGCTAGGGTTTCTACCCCAAAACATAATGGCCAAAAGCAACCTGGGGAAGAAAGGGTTTTTCATCCTACACTTCCAAGTAATGATCCATCATGGAAAGAAGTCAGGAAAGGGCTGGAGGCTGGGACTGATGCTCCTAGTGACCTGTTCAGCCTGCTTTCTTATACACCCCAGGGCCTCCTGCCCGTGAGTACCATGTCCCACGTTAGACTGGATCCACCCATACCAGTTATCACATGACTTGCCTACAGGCCAATCTTGTGGGGACATTTTCTTTATTACGATTCCTCCCTCCCAGATGACCCCACCTTGTGTTGTGTTGACATAAAAATGAGCTAGCCCAGTGAGGACACTGTCTGGAATGCAGGAGCATTGCTCAATCCTGGGCCTTTGTCTCTGTACACCGGGGAATGTACAAAATGAGCTCTGATCACTCCCCCTTCCCTTTGTTTCCCATCATTCCATTAAGTTACATGTGTGTGTTTAATTTTTTATTTACATTTTTAAAAAGTAAATGGTGAAATTCACACTCCATTCCATCTCTTCTAATTCATCTGTCCCCTTACCACCACCGCTATTCCCTCACAATTTCATGTTTTGTTTTTGTTTTTGTTTTTTTTAACACACTGAATCCACTTAATGCAGCCCACACAAGTGTGACTGTGGAGTCACTGCTGAAGAAAAGGACTCTTCCTCCATACGTGGTCCTTAGTTGTCAACATCTCCTAAGCTAGGGATGGGACATCTTGGCTTCCTCTCCTACCCATGCTGAAACTTTGTCTAGCTTGATCTTAAGGAGATCTGATGTATGCAGTCAGGCTGTAGTGAGCTCGTATGTGCAACATCCCCTCATGTCCAGAGACACGACTGCAACCCCTCTTCCACAATGACCCCTGAGCCTTGTGTTTGTGCTTGTGTGTGACACAGTAGAGGCCTAGGACACCCTCGCATGCCCTCCTCAGAACCACACCCCCTCTGAGATTGCTCTCTCCCGGCCTGGAAGTCATTCCATTGCTGGCTGTCCAGCTAACCCCAGCTTCTCCTGTCTCTACCTCCATGGCATTGGAAAGACACCCTTGCCACCACATGTGATTTTTTTTATGCTGGGTCTCGTGCCTTCCTACTTGAGTGGCAAGCGCTTCACCACGCATTTTGACCCCTGTTGTCTCCATTAGCTGAGTGGATTACGCTTATGTTTATGCAGGTTTCTGTTCAAATGCAGTACTTTTCATTACCACCATAATACTTAGTTTGGGGGTGGTTTTAATGGCTACCATAATAAAGTAAAGATAACAGCAAGGACTGTGGGTGGAGAATGAATGAGAAATGGATGTAGCATCAGATGGTCCGAGGCCTCAGAGCAGAGGTTCGTATCAACACAGCGGTGATGTTAGCATGCTTGTTTCCTGTAAGTCTTTGCCTATGCAGTCCTTTTGGCAGCACCATCCCAGCCAGCCCATTCCATGCAGGTCTGTTCTCATTGATCTTGCTTGGAAGACATTTTTCTGCCTCAAATTTCATGAGACCTCAACCAAACCAGCAGACCCAAAAGATTGTATCAGCAGTATTCAAATGAGTTCCAAAAATAAATAAATAAGATAAAGGGGGCCTTTAGAAGCTGTGCGAGTCCATGATTTTCATCACTGTAATAGAATACCTGGGGCAAGCTGACTTCAGAAAAGAGATATTTAGCTAGCTCACAGTTCTGGAGCCTCAAAGGCATGCTACAAGCCTTAGCATTGCTGCTGTGAAGACCTCAGAGCAGATGTCCCATGGTAACAGGCATTCCTGGAGGGAGCGATCACAGTTGGAATCAGGAAGCCAGAGAGACTGGCATCTCATAATCCCTTCTGAGGGCACACTTCCCATGAACCTAGGTCCCACATCATCCAGGTTCTTAAAACATGATGCTTTGGAAGACAAACTCCTTCCATACCACAGCAGAGTTGGTAGTTGGTTCCAAAGCTGGAACCCATGCCCCTCATTGAACACCATGGCGTAGATTTTAGATGCACTGGTTTTTCTCTTCTGATCCCGCTATCTCTTGGCTTTCCAGGATGCTGGCATACTTGCCCAAAATCTCCGCTAGAGCCTGTGCTTCTGGTGCAATACCTATTTTATTTTAGTTGGAGTTTGTTTGCTTAAGAACTGTTTCAAGAAATCTGTTTGCCTCTGAGACCTTCTACCAAATCATCTTCCGATTGTTGTGGTCCTTCCCTATTTCAGAGCTGCTGTTTATTGACTCTTAATGCTTGAAGGTTCTAAATAGGAGGATGTGTACACCAGTTCCTGTGAGCCTCGAGCCCTAGAGGCCTTCCTGGGCTGGGAAGATGGCTCAGCTGTTAGAAAGTCCCTGCAGTGAAAAGGATTGGCAAATGGGGAGTGGGGAAAGCTACTCTGGCCCCACAGGCATGTGTGTGCATTCATGTGCACCCACAGGAACGTGCACATAGACCACACACATGTGCATACTCGTGCATGTGCACACACAGTCCAAGTATAGTACTCAGGAAGAGTTTGTTTGACATTAAGCTGGGGCAGTGGTCACAACTATAACTCAGTATTCAGGAGCCTGCAAATTCAAAGCCAGCCTGAGATACAGAACAAGATCCTCCCTCAAAACCAAGAAAGTTTAGAATTATGATTGTAATTATAGCCATTATAAAAAGACCAAAAGGTATTATAAGAAAAGAAACTAAATTTAAGGAGAGTTCAATCTTAGTTTCACAGCAAAATTGCCAGTAATACCATGGCTCCTGAGTATACTCAGCAGGTCATTTATAAGATTTTTACTATTCTTGGCTTTAGAAAGTTCCCCTTGGTGCTTGGCTTTTGTCTTAGTAACTGACAGTCTTGGTGCTGAATTTTACACATACACACACACACACACACACAAATACACAAAATGAAAATTAGCTTTTTCTGACTTCATTTCAAAGAAACTCAAATTGTAATTGAAAAATGGCCTAATAAAATCAGTTTTAAAAGGCAGGAGTACTACAGTGAATAGCAATAGGCTAGAAAATTCTTGGTGAATAGGAAAGCTTATTTTGACATGAGTTTTTCCATATTATAACTAATGTTTCTCATCAGCACATATCACAAGACATTTTTAAGTTTTCTGTAGCACCCTTGCCAATAGTGAACTTTGAGTAATACCTAAATAAGAGTCAGGTGATGAAGAAATCAAGTGTACTGTGACTAACAATGCAATCACAGTTTGCCACGTGTTGCCAGGTTAGTAGAGTCATGTACTGTGTCCATAAATCAACAGAAACCAAGAATCTGCCAGGCACTGGTCATATGACTTCAGTTTTTGCCCTTTTGGGTTGGGTTGTTTTGTTTTGTTTGGATGGGACTGTGGCAGAGTTTCTCTGCATAGCTATGGCTATTCTGGAACTCACTCTGTAGACCAGGCTGGCCCCAGACTCAGAGATCTCCTGCCTGTGGCTCCAGAGTGCTGGGACTAAAGGAGTGCACCACCACTGCACATCAGCTTCAGTTTTAAGCAACTATAGATAAATTTGCTTTTCTTTTCTTAGAAATGTGATCTCAGTTGTAACTTGCAAAGGGTTCCTAAGAATTTGCATAGTAACTCATCGGTAGAGTGGAAAGATAAAAGAAAAATGGGAACTGGGATTCATTTTTGAGGAAAAAAATATGAATCAGAAATAAAGGAGGAAGACAGGCAGTGGAGGTGCATACCTTTAATCCCAGCACTCAGGAGGCAAAGGCAGGCAGATCTCTGTGAGTGCAAGGCCAGCCTGGTCTACAAAGTGAGTGCCAGGAGAGCTGTTACACAGAGAAACCCTATCTTGAAAAACCAAAAGGAAGGAAGAGAGAATGAGGGAGGGAGGGAGGGAGGGAGGGAGGGAGGGAGGGAGGGAGGGAGGGAGGGAGGAAACGGGATAGGGACTACACGTTTTCCAGCTTAGCCATGGTTGGCTGTTTTTCTTTGGTTACCATGTGTTATATATGTGTGTGGATACTCACTCACCTTAGGAGTGGATCACCACTTTGAAGGGCAAAAAAAAAGGTAGGAAAGCCTTTCTCACTTCACACAGTGTTGAAGGTCTTGGGTGAGAAGTCAGGGAAGTCATGCATCTTCAGTAGGTGTAGAATTAAGTCTTAAATCTTCTTCTTTTCCAGGTACCCAGGAGTCCTTTCTGAAGTTCAGGAGGAAAAAGGCATCAAGTATAAATTTGAAGTCTATGAGAAGAAAGACTAACAGAAAGATGCTTGCTGTTGACTTCAAGTTCTACTGCTTTCCTCCTAACATGATGCATTTGTACAAGACAATGGAACTTGTGTTGGCTTTAGATCTATGGGTTATTCTTTCTTTAGGGAGGGGTAGGTGGGAAGTATTTGTTTTGTGGTGCCAGAGATTGAACCTGGGACCCTGTGCATCCTGGGCAAATGCTGTACTCTAAGCCACACCCCAAAGCCATGCCCCAGCCCCTGTATAATTCTAAACAATTAGAATTGTTTTTCGTTTCCATTAATCTAAGTTATATTAAATATACTTTAAGGAACACCACTTGCTATAAAGTTCTCAATGCCCTTCCCATGCGTCCTCAAGTGGCTCCCCAGCAGAGACCCCCAAAGACATAGAGCCCCTGAGAGCATGAGCTGATGTGGGGACTCAGAGATAAGAGCTAGACGGATAAGCCAAAGGGCAGAAGTGGGTTTTAAACCGCAGAGCTGGAACTCAGACTTTAAAAGAAAATTAGATCAAAGTAGAGACTGAATCATTCTGTGCACATCAGACTCTCGGCAGAGTTCTGTTCACTCAGACAGAAAATGGGTAAATTGAGGGCTCCATTGTGCTCCATGGAGATGGGAGCAGGTGGAGGATTATGTAAGGTCTGGAACATTTAACTTCTCCCTTTCTCCTCTTCAGTGAGATTCCAAGGGATACTGCAGTGACAGAACAAAAATAGGCTGCTTCTACCAAAAATAAAAAAAAGTTAAATAATGGCAAGCATAATAGCTACTGTTAAGAATTCAGAGATAATGAATTGAGAATGGATATTGCTTGAAATGAAAATTAATAAGTTAGAAACTAACTAAACTTTATGAAGATGAAAATTAAAATGCCTTCCCTATCTCAGCAGGGTTTGTATCATCAGGCCAAAAAAAGTTGTATTTTCAGACCTGCCTCATAAATTAATACAATCTTTTCTTAAAAGAATATTTTTTATCTTTTACTTGACAATTTCATATATGTAGATCCAAATCCCCACTCCTAGTCCCTCCACTACCTTCATGTCCTCTTGTTTTTTTGTAACCCACTGAAAACAGTAAGGCTTTCTTCATGTTCCTAGGTGTGGTCCACCCACTGGAGTATGGGCAACCTGCAGTGGCCACACCCAGCCGTCACCAGTTGCCAATGGCTCATGGGTGGAGTCTACTGAGCCTCTCCTATCCACGGTGGAATATTGACTGGATTGATCCACAGATAACCATAGCTGCTGTAAGCTTGTGAGTGTAATGGCCACGTCCTGTCCAGAAGACAGCATTATATAAACAGCACTCTTCCCCATCCTTCAGGCCTTCCATTCTGTCCACCCCTTCTTCCTCAGGGAGCTCTGAACCATAGACAGGGTTCTTGATATAAATGGTCTATTCCGAACTGAGTAATAAACAATCGGTTATTCTCTGCACTTCGACCAGTTGTGAGTCTCTATGCTTGACTGCTGTCCACTGCAAAATGCTGTCCACTGCAAAAAGGAACTTCTTCTCTGACCAGAGTTATGAGCAGCACTAATCCAGGGTATGAACAAAGGTATTTAGAAGGTGCTTTGAAAACCCATCCATTTAGCAAAACAGCAGTACTAAGTTCACCCTTAGAGTCCATGAATTCCACAGCCATAGGCATTTGACCTGTTTTACAGTACCATACATAAGAATTCTCTCTTGTGGAGCAGGCTCTCAGATACAATTAGAAAGCGATTGGTTACCACTGTAGTAGTCATGCCACCACCGCACCCGTAGATTAGTATTATAACATGCAGGACCTACCACTAGTTAAGTCCATTAAAGACTTTTCTCCCCCAGTGATATGCATAGCACCTTCTGGCACTGTGAAAGCTATCCAGTAAGAAGGGAGTTTACAACTCCAGATTTAATTCTCTGTCCTGCAACCGCAATGTGTTGATGTGCCTTCAACAGTAGGGACTTACTATCTAGCTATGGTGACCATCCAAGAGCAATGGCAATCAATACCTTGTGTTGTTTGGGAAACCTCTATAGCCAATTGCTCCTTAAGAGGTGGCCCATACCTTGCACTGATTTTTTCATTTAAGGACCTGTCTTCATTTAATAACTATTGCCCACTAATGTGTAGGGTACTGCAATTCAAACTTTTTTTTAGTTATAACTACCTTACAAAGCAGTGGGGTGCTTTGTTTTCTCATACAACCTCAGGTTAAGTTAGCACATACTATAAATACAGTCTTTTGAATGTGAGTAGTCAGTTCAAATTCATAATATTCTAGATTTGGACTCAGAAATGCTACCTGATAATGAACTCAGAGCCAGGGCAACAGCTGAGTTAGTTCCCACATAACATGCAAACTGAGTTTGTGTTGTGTAATAGTTTCCTCTAAAATTAAAACCTGTCTTAGAGGGAATCTGCTTTGAAACATGATGTTATAGAGGAAGTGAAACAAGAGGATATTCTAAGGGGAAGTGAAACAGTCCATCATGCTAGGTAGTTCCTTACGTTCAGGAAGCAACTCAGAAGGCTTTAGGAAGTTCCTGAAACTGAGCGGGCACACTAGACCTCTGCCTTCCTCAGCATATTTAAGCAGTGATTGCTGAGGGACACTGAGACAAGCTGGGCTGCGTAGAAAAACAGCTGAGCAGAGAAAAAGCAGAGACCAGTGAAGCTGTCTGAAAGAGGCTTAGACCTACTGAACTACCTGGAAAGGACACCCCAACCTGTTGAGCTGCCCGTAGGTTATATAACACACTACAGATTTCCAGATTTCATGAGCTGTCACCCATGTTTGAATTAATTCTGCTTCTGTAAGTAATCCCAGTGAAACTCATTGGTTCACCATCTTGAATTGAGTGGTGTCTTTCCTTGGTTAGTTAGTAGACATTTGCTCCTGTCTCTCCAAGAAGAGTGTTACATAACAGTTTGGATACCCGGTGCCCATGAAAAAGCCAAGTACAGTGGCATATGTTTATAACCCCAACAGTGGTGGGGTAAGGGAAAGACTGGCCCAAGTAGTGAGTTCCCAGTACAGTGAGAGTTGCTGACTCCAGAAGTGAGGTAGAGAACAACAGAAGACAGCTCACATTGCCCTCATTCCGTATGCAAGCACACATGCGCATACCCCAACAAGTACATACACGTCACACGCAAACAGAGGATCCAAAGTTCATTGGTACAGCATTTTTTTTTTAATTTGGAAAGAGCCTAAATGTCAAAAAAAGAAAAGTGAAGAGTTTCTATGTTCTATAAAAATATAACATTTTGCAACACTTGGAAAGGATGTGGCCCTAACCCCAAATGCTAGACTTCTTAAAGAAACAAACTATAATGAAACAAAAAAAAAAAATTAGTACTAGCTTGTCTAAGAGTAATATACATTATAAATGGTTGACAGTATCATATTTGGTTAGTGTTTTCTGTTTGTCTTTTATGATTAGGATTTTTTGCAAATTATTTCATACAAAATCGTTTAAGCTATTCAGCCACGGCCTTTGTCTCAATGAGAACGTGAGAATGAGGATACAGAACATGAAGATAAAAGTGGCTTTCTGAAAGTCTTCCGTCGCAGGAGGGGGCACACCACACAGTAGAAAGGGGTCAACCCTACAGAAAAGCTGCACATCAAAAGAAAACTGGAGATTTCTTGGAATGAACATAACCAGGAAGCTACCAGTATCTAGAATCTGTAGGACTCTGTGATTAGGTCAGAAAAAGAAACACATTGTTTAAAGGAGAAATTGAGTGGCCAGTAAGTACACGCTGAGGTTAGCCTTCCTCTAGAAAGGAGGGAAACACAGGCAAAACTTGCTTGTGACGTTCTCACCATTGTCAGACTTAGGTATTGTTGATGTTTCCTAAGGATGAGGACACTCGTGAACAGCAGTTTCACAGTGGATAAAAACCAGGAGAAGACCAGGCGTTGGTGGCGCACGCCTTTAATCCCAGCACTCAGGAGGCAGAGGCAGGTGGATCTCTCTCTGAGTTCGAGGCCAGCCTGGTCTACAGAGTGAGTTCCAGAACAGCCTCCAAAACAATACAGAGAAACCCTGTCTCGAAAAAAAACAAAAACCAAAACAACAACAACAACAAAAAAAAAAAAAAAACGGAGAAAACCTCATACACACGACAGACACTACTGCATTACTGTTTTAGGATGAGGTCTACCCAAAGTGTATTCTGGAACATTTTGGGGAAAGTAGTATATGCAGGAGGTCACCCCAGAAAGCACCAACGGGATATGAGAAAACAGGAAACCTGTTCAAGGTTAGTAAGCAGGTTTGCACTGGCAAGCTGACATACCTGGGACACTGGGGGACAGAAAGCTGGAGTGTGTAGACTCCAGTCATTGGTTGGGGGGTTGTTCCAAACTGTCAGCTTGTTGCTCTGTGTAAAATGAACACATTCCAGCTACCAAGGTTCCAATGTTTGCAATAAGAAACTGCTAACATGAATGTAAAGAATACTAAACACTTCAGCAATCCCATTTTCTGCTGCTTTCTGTATAGGAAAAAAAAGGTGTACCGCCCAACAATTTATTTGAAGTATAATATATCAGAAGCTCAGGGTAAGGGGGATGGATGATAGCAGCTTACAGCAGAGCTTTGTCCATACTGAAAAGCAGATGTGATATGATTTAGCATGAGAAGCAGAGGCTTCTGGTGGACTTTGAATTCGAGTTTAGACTCACTGAGTCTGAGATGCCTTTAAGAAAGAAAGAAGGGGACTGGAGAGATGGCTTGGTGGTTAAGAGCACTCACTGCTCTTCCAGAGGACCTGAATTCTATTCCCAGTACCCACATGGCAGCTCACAACTGTTTCTAACTCCTGTTCCAAGGGATCCAACACAAACATTCATGTAGGCAAAACACCAGTGTACAGAAAATAAAAATAAGTAAATTATTTTTTAAAAAGAAAGAAAGGAGCCGGGCGTTGGTGGCGCACGCCTTTAATCCCAGCACTCGGGAGGCAGAGGCAGGTGGATCTCTGTGAGTTCGAGGCCAGCCTGGTCTACAGAGTGAGTTCCAGGACAGCCTCCAAAACAATACAGAGAAACCCTGTCTCGAAAAACCAAAAAGAAAAAAAAAAAAAAAAGAAAAAGAAAAAGGAATAAAAATATAGAAAACAATGGAAACATGCCTTCAAATTCTGAAAAGGAAGTTATTCTCAATTAATAAAGCTACACTCACTCAAATTCGAACGTGTTGGTCTCCTCCATGTATCGTTTCTTAGAAATCTACTAGAGGAGGTGCCCAAGCAAAACGAAGGATTATACAAACAAAAAGAAGGTTGCCTAGGATCTAGGAAATAAAACTCAAAACTCGAGATGCCAGCTTTGTACCTGGCTTAGGAAACAAAGAAGTAAGAAATAAGAATGGGTGGATGACAGGTCTGCAGCATTTACGGAGTTCTCTCGAGACAAAGCCAAGAGGCTGATGATCACACAACTGGGCAACTGATTTGGGGAAACGGAATACAGGAAAGGAAATTAAAATGCTGTTTTTCTCAATACTGAACTACGTGGGCATAGTCATAGCTGCCTGGCCTATAATAAGACTGTAAGCTGGAACCTCAGCTGTCTAAGATAAAACAATCAAGAAGATTTGAGAAAAACATCAGGGATAAATGGCTGCTAAGTTACAAGTTGGTGCTTTAAACATTTGGAGAGGGTTGGGTGGGGACTCCCAGACCTGGGGCTCCCTAATAAGGCTGTGCTGGCCTCTAAGGCCTCCCACTTTAGGGACTGCGGGTCAGCAGTGCTGATAGCGGTGGTTTCTGATGCGGGTACTGAGGGTCTGAACTGTCCACACACTTAACGCCGCAAGCATTTTACTGAGTCATCTCCTCATCTCAGAACATTTTCCTTTAATCTTTCTTAATGAAATGGTCGCACTTCTCCCTGTGGGCTAGTCTCCTGTTACTCTCTGTACATGCCACATAAAACCCCATGGAAACTTTGAAGGCACTGTATGTCCATACTCAGATGAAAAACAAAAGCCCACAGACCAACGGTCGGGAAACATCTGGGTTTTTCCTGCAGCGCCTGCCCTGGTCTTTCACAGAGAATTCAGTCTCACTTTTTCCAGGATGGCTTCTGAACTATCACCGTAAGATGAGAATCTAAAGCAAAGATGTAAGTAATGAGCTTCATGTGTTCCGAACACACAGCTTAGCGCATTGAAATTATGTAACACCTTATAAGTCGTCCCTCAAAATGTTCCCATTTACACCTGCATCGGGGACGGGTCCCAGAATCTGCCTTTTAAATAAACACCCCAGAGGCTTCTGAAGCTAGAACGTCAAGGACTGAGAAAAGCTTGCCTGTGGGCGAAGCCAGGCACCTGGGAGCTGCCTGCTTTCTTGCTGCTGATTTAGAAGGCATTTGCCCCCAAATGGAGCTGGGGGACTGTCACTATTTCTCATTCTCAGGACTTTGAAAGGAAGCAATACAGAAAAGCATTCAAAGTGTAAGCCACCATGTAATAATGGCGGACGATCAGGTTGTGCAGGTTAGATTTTACATATTGCTGATCTTGAAGCTAAAGACCTTTCACTTCTTAAATATGTAATAAAATTCATATGAAAGTATTTTTGTGTAAGTAACTCAGTCAGACACATGGCAAACAAAGTAAATGATAGGTGTACCTTAGCGAAATGCAGTCACATCGTTCATTCATTAATTATACAAAAGGTGGGCTGGGAGGAAGGCTTGTGCTCAAGAGGACGTGCTACTCTTCCAGACAGTCCAGGTTCTTTTTCCCAGCTGTCTGGGACTCACATCTGCTGGTAGCTTGAGCCCCAGGGGATCTGGCACCCTCTTCTGGCCTCTGCAGGCACCCATACACACTTGGCATACACACACATGCACAAATTTTAAAATGAAATAATAGATTGCAGGCCCACACATATACATACACTAACTAAATAATTAATAGCTAATAATAGAAATGAACCAAACACATACCCTGATTAAGTAACATGACTCCGTGAGGTTAAAGGCAGTTTCTGGCCAGCTGCTGAAAGGGCTAGATAATAACAATCACCTTTGAAAGACTGGACCTGAAGCTGGGCGTTGGTGGCACACGCTTTTAATCCCAGCACTCGGGAGGCAGAGGCAGGCGGATCTCTGTGAGTTCGAGGCCAGCCTGGTCTACAGAGTGAGTTCCAGGACAGCCTCCAAAACAATACAGAGAAACCCTGTCTCGAAAAACCAAAAAAAAAAAAAAAAAAAAAGAAAGACTGGACCTGGTGATTAAGGATGTTCCAGCCGTGTCGCGAACGAGAAATCAAATGCATAATTGAATGAGTGCCGGGAATAGAACTGGAGACTTTCTGGTGAGGATGCTTTCACTGGCAGTGGAGCCCCTGTCCAAACAGGAGAGACGCCTGCGGTAGGTCTGTGGCGGCCCTGCGGCGGCCCTGCGGTTGTGCTGTCCCTGAGACAGGAGACGCACCAGAGAGTGTTTCTAATGAGCAGCTCCTGCCCTTTCTGTTCCCCTGGAGACCGCACGTGTCTCTCCGATAATACATTGACATTTCTGTTAAACCATTTTCTTCTTGGAACACAAATGGAGAACAAATCAGATTGGTGTGTGGTTTTTAAAATAACTTGGCACTTAATAATACAAAACAAAATGATCAGAGGCTGGTTTTAGGTGCTCTCAGCATCTGCCGCCCCTGCGCCATAGGACACATCAGTCTGGAGGAACAGTCTCCAAGGAGAAAGCTGGAGGAAGACAAGATTTCCTACAGCACCCACAGCAAAACCATTCAGGAAAGGGACCCTGAGTGAGATGGCCTCTTCTTCATCGCGTGGTCACAGACTGCTTCAAGGGGAGAATAACTCAATCTAGCATCGAGAAAGCAAAGGGTCCCTTTTGACTGGCAATGCCCCATAGATAGATAAATATAGATTATGTATATATTGTACAAACACATGTATGTGTGTATAATGCCCATATACATGTATACGTATACATACATGCATGCTTGTGTGTGTGTGTGTGTGTGTGTGTGTGTGTGTGTGTGTTTGAGACTGGGTTTCTCTACTATATAGCTCTGACTGTCCTGAAACTTGCTAAGTAGACCAGACTGGCCTCAAATTCACAGAGACCCACCCTCTTCTGCCCCAAAGTGCTGAGATTAAAGGCCTGCACCCACCCCACCCAGCCCATCTTACATTTTGCTTCATTTCAAAGTTAGCTTTCTGCATCATTTATTCCTGCATATCATCAACCATGGTTCAGTCTTGTTTGTGTTTTGGAATATTTACTTAACAAAATACACATCTTTTTTTGAAGATTTGTTTGTTGTTAAGATTTATTTATTTATTTATTATGTGGCTGCAGGGCAGAAGAGGGCACCAGATCAAATTACACATGTTTGTGAGCCACCATGTGGCTGCTGGGAATTGAACTCAGGACCTCTGAAAGAGCAGCCAATGCTCTAATCGCTGAGCCGTCTCTCCAGCCCCAAAACACACATCTTAAGTGTTTGCCACAAGGTTTGACACAAGGTTTTCTCACTCCAGTTCCCTGGCCTGCTCTGACCTCATGAATAGACTCATACAGCATGTACTTACTTCACTCGGAATGAATTCTTTTTCACCCATTGTTGCTCTGCACAGAATTTGTCCCTTTTTTATTGTCTTAGTGTTAATCAATAATCAAAGTCAGCAAAACAAAAACAAAGACAAAAACAAAAACAAAAACAAAAACAAAAACCAGTAGGCAAACTTTTCCGATAGGGTAAACCTGCTTGATTGCAGGCTTTGGTTGCCTTGTTTGGTCTAACCCCTTGAAAGTTCCTTACTATGTGAGTTAGTTAATGGTTGCTAACTAGTTGAATCTCAACTTCGTTTTTCCTTAGTGTGGGCATTTATAAGGAATAGCCCCCTTAAATTTGGATTCTGTTCTCAAATCAAGCAAGCTCAAGGCTGTAACCATGGTTTCTCTAACTTCCCTGCTCAGGAAATTTAAATGTCTGGTCTCCATCATATTACTTTCAAAGTAATATTTGGTTATACACATGTGCCAGTTGCATGACCCTTTTCTTCTTGATGGACCTATGAACTCTGTTGAGGTGAGATTTTAACCCCTTAGAAGGGGCTAGAGAGTGGTACCCGATGGTCAGGGCAAGGCAGATTCTCATCCATGGGTCCCACATCTGCTAGTCTAAGCAACAGCAGACACTAAGCTTTGTGGTTAGACACCGTGGTTGCATGTACACTTAGCATGTGCCAGCATTGTCTTGTCATTCCTTTAGAATCCAGCTAATAATTATGACAGCTATTCTCATAGCATTTATATTGTATCAGCATTGTAAATTATTTTGAAATGCTTTAAGATACACTCGAGAACCATTCATATCATGTGCCTGTTATTGCACCAGCTGGGACACTGAAATGAGCTCCCTTGAGCCCAGCATAAAGAGAAAGTTTTCATCTCAAGCAAACAAAAGATACATTTGACAATGGATGAGGGATAACTGTCATACTTTTTATATAATGATTGAGAATCTACAGATTTGGGTATCCTTGTCACTTGGGAGACCAAGGGAGGACTATTAGTTCTAGAGCTATGAACCTTACCTCCAGATTCCAAAGCCAATACAAACTCTAGCCAAGTTGGGGTGCTGTTACCTGTGTCTGTCTGTCAAGTGCCAAGTGTTTTCACCACCTTTACTGTATCTTTCCAACCACTCTCCTTTATAACAATATAGTTCATGGCCTTTCCTTCTCTCACTTGACTGTGGAGTAACTAACTTGCGTGTTTCCAGTCTTCGATCTCCTCCTTACAATCCACACTAATTAACCACAAAGGCCCTCTTTCTGAGCTTGTCTGCTCTATCTCTGTCTCCACGCCTTCGTGCTCTCCCAGCTGCAGCCGAACTTCACTTTGGCCTTGAGAGGCTTCTCCAGGTGACAGTGACTAATGTCTGTAGATTTAGCATCTACCATCTACCCTGTGGATTACACATGAACTGCCTTAGCTTTTCAGCAGGGGACAGACCCATAGTCAGCCATGTCAACACCCTTCTTCACGCTGTTCTCACCGCAGTAAGTCCTGCTTCCTGTTTTCTCCTGTCTAAACTCAACCCTGTCCTAAAGACCTTACCCAAATCCTGATTGCGTCTTTTCCACAAAACTTTCCTCCTTCTCTCCTTTACAAGGTGGAAACTCAGAGACCCAGGTGTCTTGCATGTTGTTGTTTCTGTCTTCAACAAGGAATCCCCAGGTTCCTGCACGGAGGACTGTACTTGAGGCTACTGGTGTAGCAGAAAGACAGGCCAAAACCGTGAAACAGAAACCCAGCTGCCAGAAAGTTGGAGGAGGCAGCCCAGCCGTGGAGCAGGAGAAAGAGAAAACAGGCTTGGGGAACAGCTAGCCATATTCTGTCACAGTCACAAGGAGAAAGAGCCCTGGCCTGGCCTACATATTCTACAACTTCCTGAATCTTTGCTCTGAAATGAAGAGGTTTGGATGGCTGGTCTGGGAATTCATCTCGCTTGCAGTGAAGCTCCTTGGGGTATTCGAAACTAGGAGGTTCTAAGGAGTTGATGCTAATTGTTCTCTAAGGTGTGTGAGGAGTACTGGCAGAGTTCAGGCCTACTGAGGAAAGAATTCCATATCTAGTCTGCACTCCTGGGCACGAGACATTCAGCTATCTCTCTTATAAAGCATAGAAAAGTACTCTTGTACTTGGCACAGAGAAGTAATTTCATTACATAGAGCATTAAAGAAGTATGTATGAGTTAGAGAGATGGCTCATCAGTTAAAAGCACATACTGCTCTTCCAGAGGACCTGAGATCAATCCCCAGCACCCACACAGACTCACACATGGGCATGTGATTAAAATTACCTTCTGCTTCCATGGAAAATCACAACCAGTGCAATCGTATTTATGTGCCAGACTAATAAAGTCTTTATAAATTTGTCCCAATCCCCACCCAGAGCTAGCGATTGAACCTGGGGACTTGAGCGTGCTGGATCAGGCTTTACCATTTAGCTATATGTATACCCCTATCTGTTTTTGTTTGTGACAGGGTCTTGCTGGTAACTCTCTGGAGAGCTAAAACTCACTATGAAGACCAGGATGGCCTTTAACTCGCAGAGATCTGCCATTCTCCTTCTCGTGAGTGCTGGGCTGAGGACATGTACAGACCCTCCTGACATCCCCTATTTAATAGTTAGAGTTTTAAACTGAAAATTTAGAACTGTTTGATATCAGTGAGCCAGCTTCTGGTCCCTCTGTGAGTTTGAACCCACTAGGCAGACAGCAATCGTAATTTTAATCCCTCTTGTTGGAAAAGTGGGCTGATATGAGTGAGGCCTTACCTCCCTAGTGCTGGGCTTGTAGGTACAAGCCCACCATCACACGCGCATGTGCGCGCGTGCACACACACACACACACACACACACACACACACACGCACGCTCAGCTGGCACAGCACTTGCCCAGCGTCCATGAAGCCCTGGCTTTCTCTTCAGCTCTTCACAAAAGTGGTGCGTGTCAGGTACCTGTAATCTTGACATTCACTCGGGAGGGGGCGCATGAAGAGCATGAGTTTGAGGCCAGCCTGGGCTACATAGAAGACCCTATCTCAAAAACAAAACAAGCCTTTCCCTCTGTTTGTTTGTTTTGACACAGGTTCTTTCTATGAAGCCCTGGCTGTTCTGGAATTCACTACGTAGATCAGGCTGGCCTAGAACTCACAGAGATCACCTGACTCTGTCTCTCCAGTGCTTGAATTAAAGGTGTTCACCACTGCACCCAGAGGTCTTTCCTGAATTTTATATCAATTTCTGATTCCTGGCCTGCCCTACACTTCCACACTTGCCAGCCTGCACAACTGTATGAGCTAACGCTGTAAAATACATGCCACATTGGTTCTGTGCCGCCTAAATTCCAGCTCTAACAGGGTATCTGGCTTTACCTTTTCCTCAGGTTTCTGGGTAGTTGATGTGTTCGGAGGCATTTCTCGTAAAGACCAAATCTGGCCAGATTCAAATGACTGGCCTTCAGCTCCACAAACTGGGAACAATAATGTCGGCTGGATATGGCTTGTCACACTCTGTTTCTATTCGTGGACTTGTGAGTGATTTCTGGGAAACGCTTGTTATAAGGTAAGTCCTTTTCAGTGGACTTCACAAGTTCACCCTCAGGTAGTATTCTGTCAGGTAGAAGAAACTTCTTTCAGAGAAGCAAGGGGTGACAAGCCCTCTGGGCTGGCCATTGTCCCTGCTGGCATTGAACCTGCCTGTTCAGCACATGAAAGCATCGTCTGGTGCTCCCAAAGCCAAGCACTGGCAGCCCCCTGCAGTCAAGTGTGTGGGGTGGCTTAGCAGGGGTGCCTAGGCTGGTTTTGTAGTTTACCTTTTCAACACAAATGCAAAAGCCAGAGAGAGAGAGAGAGAGAGAGAGAGAGAGAGAGAGAGAGAGAGAGAGAGAGAGAGAGAGAGAGAGAGAGAGAGAGAGAGAGCAGGAAAGCATCTAGGCTTTGAAGCAAGCCAGCCTTCCTTCAGCTCCGTCCTTGAGCCATTCTGAGTGGAATGGAGTAATTGTCTGCTTGGAGACCTGCAGAATAGCGCAGGCAAAGAACAATTTGTACCTGGAATATATTCATTAGCTTGCATGTCAAAAGGCCACATGCAGATAGAAACCATTATCTTGGCATTCTTTAAAACCTAGCAGCCTTGAGACTTGAGGTGCAGAAACCCACGTGCCCATGTGACTACCTGTCGCTGTCTCCGGCCCTGCCTGGCTAACAGGGACAATACAGAGAGATGGTGGGAAGGGATACTTTAGACTCCTGCAGACTTGGATTGAAAGAAGAACAGGAAAGACAGGGGACTGTGCAAATAAGCACTCTATTAGGACCTATTTTTGGTGTCTTGGGACCCTCCTACTGGTTTAGCTTAAATTGATAGGGGATTTGGTTTGTCTCACTGGCTGTTTCTTCCCACTCAATTCACAATTACAGCTTTCTTCATTGTCATTAAAATACATTAACTGTGTACTTGTTGGGGTATGGCTTTCTGTTGAAATCTGCATAAAGACAATGTCCACAGCCCCCAGTCGGTGGAAAGAGCAGAAGGACCAGAAGGCATGAGTTTCCGTCCTGGGTCTATCTTGGAATGTTTGTTGAAACCTGCGCTTGTAAGAGACAAACCCTAGAACCATCGGCGTGCAGGTCTGCAGGACAGTGTTGCCAGTGTAGATAATGCCCAAACTGGGACCTAACGGTGAAGGCCTTGGGAGCTAAGGCGGGGGAGGGGTGCTGCAGGAGTCAGCTGTGGCCTCCCGGATGTCCTCCTCATGACCCTTTGCCACCCCAGCCTCCCACCACCAAGCATGTGTTTGGGATCCAACTGCTGGTCCCCGGTGTTCTCTTTCTTAGTTGGAATTCTCAGGGAATAACAAAAAGGGTCTCTGCCACTCAGCCTATGGCATCCTATATGATAACAGCTAAGGCTCAACAGCTGTCATTGTTCTTTTTCCAGATGCTCAGCAGCGAGGATGCAGAGGTGAGCCAAAGCGGTTCAGGGCTGCCTGATGATGGATTTGACAGGCCAGAATGAAACAAGATCAGTCTGTAAACAGAGTCTTTCCTACCCAGAGATTCGATGTTGCCTTGCTCTGTCACTGGCTGGGCATCATTTATTTACCAAGAGTCATGCAGACACCAGACGCCCAGAGATAAATAACACCCCAGCCCCTGGCATCCATATGACCAAGGAGTCTGGAATGTTCTGGGGAAGCTCCACCTGAGCTCCTAGCACCCATATACCCAAATAGTCTGGAATGTTATGGTGGAAGCCCCACCTCTCTCTCCCCAGACTCCGCCCCCTCAGAAAGTCCGCCAAACAAGACTCCTCCTCCCACCTGCTCAAGACTACTTCCATTGGGTATTTAAACTGCCTCCCAGAAAACAGACGCTCAGTTTCTCAGTCTCTCTTCCTCTTGGGATGGGGAGCAGGGGTGTTAGTATTCAAGCATCTGTTCTGGCCTGTCCTTGGGGTTCTGACAGGATACGACCTCAGTTGCAGCCACTAAGATCACCATCTGTGCATATTCACAATGTTTCCTTTTAAAAGGGCCCTGTCCAACTCTCTCTCCTCTTCTTTTCCCCTTCCCTCTCTCCCCTCCCTCCCACCTCTCTCTCTGCCTCTCTTCTTTGCTGCTGCTCCTGTCCCCAGAGGCCTGTCTCCCCTCTCCCCTTCCCCCTTTTCCCATTCACTTTCCCCCAATAAAAATCCCCTCCACCCAAGCTCTGTCACATGGCATCTTTCTCTTGCTCACTGATTTTTAAAATTACAATGGGGAGGGGGCACAGAAAAAATACCAGGGAACTCTATCCATTAAACCTGGGTGCTCCTTCCTTCCTTCCTTCCTTCCTTCCTTCCTTCCTTCCTTCCTTCCTTCCTTCCTTCTGTTTTTGTTTGTTTGTTTTTGTTTTGAGACAAAATTTCTCTGTAGCTTTGGAGCCTGCCCTAGAACTCACTCTGTAGACCAGGCTAGCCTCAAACTCACAGAGATCCACCTGCCTCTGCCTCCCAAGTCCTGAAATTAAAGGCACGAGCCACCATCATCCGGCTTAAAAATGGGCTTTTTCTAATTCGGTTTGATTTGGTCTGATTTGGATTGCTGCATCGACAGAGAGGCTTATTGAGATGCAGAAACTTTTCAAACAGCTTTTGAGCAAATGATAGAGAGAAGCTCGAGGAAATGGGACCGATGCTTGATTGAGGATGTCAGAGGGAGGCTTTCCAGAGGAGCTTACAACTGAGGTGAACTTAAATGTTAGGGAGTTTGTCAAGTTCAACCCACAGAATAGAGCAGGGTCATGAGGAGCTGGGGTTCTGAGTGTTATGGCGGAAGCTTCACCCCAGCCCCCAACATCCATATACCCAGAGTCTGGGATGTTATGGTGGAGGTTCCAGCCAAGTCCCCCTCCCCCATCTCCCTCCAAACCCTGCTGGATCTCAGAAAGCACACCAAATGATGTCCCCTCCCCCAGAGATGCTCAAGACCACTCCCACAGGGTATTTAAATTGCCCCCCACAGAAAACAGATATGTGGTTTTTCAATCTTTCTTTCCTGTCTCCTCTCTGGGGGAGCTGGAAGGCCATCCGGGAGCATTGTATCCATTAAACATGGGCTTTTTCTAATTTGGTTTGATTTGGTCTGATTGGATTACAGCCTCAGCAGAGAGGCTTATCAGGGGGCTGAAACTTTTCATTGGGCAAAGAAGCTGGGATACAAGGCATGATAATTTGAGAGACTAACTAGAGACCTTGTAGACTAGGAGGAGTCCAGATAGGGTGCCCTTGCCCCCAGCTTCCACATTCTCTCACTATCTCAGCATCCCCCACCCTACTCCCAGCCCCATGCCCTCCTACTTGCTGTCCCCAGCCTCCAACAGGTGCAGAGACGCCCAGATCCACCAGAGACCAAGAAGACTGGGGGTAGGCTGCCTGCCCGCCAAGCCCACTCCCCAGCTCAGCATTTTGGCATCCCTCCCACTACCATTATCTCCCGGTCCTACGCTGTTCCAAGACATCCCACTCTGTCAGAGATCAAGCAGATTAACAGTCCAGTATGCTACCTGTCTGCCCAACTCACCCATTCTCTCACCATCTTGACATATCCCCTAACCTATCACCATTCCTGTGCCCTCCTGGTTGTCTTATCCCAGCCTCCAACCAGGGTGGAAACTCCCTGCTCTATCAGAAACCAAACAGACTGGGAAAAGACCAGAAGGCCACAGAGTAAACAGAAACCAAGTAACAAAACACCCATCCAACAAAGACAAATGAAGAAATCAGCACCTGGACCTTTAAATACCCCAAACACAGATGTCTAGAGGCCAGTGTAAGAACACAAGAAACAACAACCAAGGCAATAAGTCACTACCAGCTACCCGACTACAACAAATCCTGGATATTGAAAACAACAGAAGCACAAGAAAAAGAGCTAAAATCAGCTTTATGGGGATGATTGAGGTTCTCAAGGAGGAAATGAATAAATCCCTTATGGAAATTCAGGAAATTACAGACAATTGCAAGAAATGAAGAAATCCCTAAAAGAAAACCAAGAAAGAAAAAAAAAGTTGAAAGAAATGAATAAATCAGTTCGAGACCTGACAATGAAAATAAAACAATAAAGAAAACACAAACTTAAGGGATTCTGGAAATGAAAAATCTAGGTATGCAGACAGAAAGGATAGACATAAGCATCACCAACAGAATACAAGAGATGGAAGACAGAATCTCAGGCATGGAGAATTCAATAGAAGAAATTTATACATTGTCATCAAAGAATGCTAAATCTAAAAAGTTCCTGACACAAAATATCCAGGAAATTTGGGATACACAGGACAAAACCTAAGAATAATAGAAATAGAAAAAAAGAGAAGATTTCCAGCTCAAAGATATATCCCAGCTCCCAGAAAATATCTTCAGCAAATTAATAGAAGAAAACTTTCCTAACCTAAAGGACATGCCTATGAAGTTACAAGAAGAAGCATCCAGAACACCAAATAGATTGGACCAATAAAGAAAATCCCCCTGCCATATAACAACTAAAACACTAAACATACAAAACAAAGAAAGAATACTAAAAGCTGCAAAGGAAAAAGGCCAAGTAACACATAAAGGCAGGTCTATCAGAATAATACCTGACTTTTCAGTGGAGACTCTAAAAGCCAGAAGAGCCTAGACAGACAGATGTCTTGCAGACTCTAGGAGACCACAGATGCCAGCCCAGACTATTTAATATCCAGCAAAAGTTTTAATCACCATAGATGGAGAAAACAAGATTTTCCATTACAAAGTCAAATTTAAACAGTATCTATCTACAAATCCAATCCTACAGAATGTGCTAGAAGGAAAACTCCAACCTAATGTTAACTACACCTATGAAAAACACAGGAAATAATCTCACACCAGCAAAACCAAAAGAAGGGAAACTCCCTCTCTCTCTCTCTCTCTCTCTCTCTCTCTCTCTCTCTCTCTCTCTCTCTCTCTCTCTCTCTCTCTCTCTCTCTCTCTCTCTCTCTCTCTCTCTCTCTCTCTCTCTCACACACACACACACACACTGCCACTACCACCAATGGCAACAACAACAAAATAGCAGGAATTAACAATAATTGGTTGTGTGTATATGTGTCTGTGTGTCTGTCCCTCTGTGTGTGTGTGTCTCTGTGTGTGTGTGTTTATCACCTGAGGGGTGGCTTTTCCTTGGTCTGTGAGGTTTCTGCCCAATCAATAATTCCCTTTGCTCTACTTCCTCTTGTCCTTACTGGCCTCTATTGTGGATTAAGGAAACTGTGTGGAGAAACAGCTTTCTAGAAAGGAACACTAGCCATCTCCTGTAATCAAATTGGTGACTACCCTAATTGTTATGAGAGAGCCTCCATCCAGTAAGTGCTAGAAATAGATGCAGAGATTCACAGACAAGCACTGGGCCAAGCTCCAGGAGTCCTGTTGAAAAGAGAGAGGAAGGAGTATATGAGCCAAGGAGGGTCAAGAGCATGACAGGGAAGCCCACAGAGACAGCTGACCTGGGTTTGTGGATGGGAGCTCACAGACTCTGTACCAACATCTAGGGAACCTGCGTGAGACCAACCTAGGACCTCTGCATGTGTGTGACAGTTGCATAGCATGGCCTGTTGGTGAGTTTTCTAGCAGTGGGATCGGGGCCTGTCCCTGGTGCTTCAGGGGCTTTTGGGAACCTGTTCCCCATGCTGAATTACCATACCCAGCATTGATGGGGGGAGGGGGGGCAACGCTTGGTCCTGCCTCAACTTGATGTGCTTTGCTTTGTTTGACTCCCATGGAAAGCCTTCCCCTTTCTGGAAAAAAAAAAGCAAGGAGGAGTGAATGGGGGAGGGGAATGGGAGGAGAGGAAGGAGGGGGAACTGTGATCGGGACATAAAATGAATGAAAAAATTAATTAATTAAAAAAGAACACTTGTGCTGGTGGATTGGCTAAAATGGTACAAAGATGAAAAGTACACAGGAGAAAGAGAGGAGAAACCTGGGGGACTCCAGTGATGGATGAGGGCTGCAGGAATGTCGGCTTGCTCTCTTAGTGGATGAGGGAAGAGGTGACTTACATAAATGCAGTTGTAGTTTGTATATGGAGTTTAAATCCCTGTGAATATGGGGGCATAGAGTAAAGACGTTTGAGGAGAAGGAGGAACACATGCTTGAAAACATGGTCTTCAGAACCAGCAACAATCATACAGAGTGTCCAGGGACCATGGACACTTGAAGGACAGACCAACACATTTTTAACAGTAAAGTGTACAGAGTACACCAGTCAACATAGCGTGTTTTTGGTATGAAAGTGATGGGTAAATTGCCCTGGGACTGTAACTCGGTTGTAAAGGACTTATCTGGCATGTGGGTGGTCTTGGGTTCCCTCCTTAGCACTGAAAAAATGCATATATATTCCAGTGTTTTGTAGAAAATAATCCAAAGAAAGCCATGATTTCTCCTTTGATAAATCCAGAATAATGTAGTAAGAATACACAGTGGAGTGGTTTCAGCAAACAAGTACAGGTTGTTTGTTTGTCCGCTTGTTGTATGGGATGGTTGGGTGGTTGGTTGCTTGATTGGTTAGATGGGTGGGTGGGTGGTTGATTGGTTGGGTGATTGGTTGGGTGGTTGGTGGTTGGTTGGTTGCTTGGTTGGGTGGTTGGTTGGGTGGGTTGAGTTTTGTTTTGAGACAGGGATTTACTCTATATTTCAGCTAGCCTCAAACTCATTATGTGAACATGAGTATGTGATGAAATTATCTAAGACCATAGTGTCTGTGTCCATGTAGTGTCTCTCTAGCTTAGAGAATAAGGAGTTGCTATGGCCTCCAAGAATAAGAACTGATCCTCCTATCTCAAAGCCAGCAAGGAACTGAAGCCCTTAATTTTATAGACACAAAGGAATCCATTGTGTGGCTCCTACCCAGCCAAGTCTCTGATGGACCACAGACCTGCATGGCACCTTGTGCAGTCTTTTGAGGTTCCAAGAATAGGATGTAGGGAACCCATGCCAGAATCCCAACACACAAATCCTTAGTGAGACCAGAATCCCAACACACAAATCCTTAGTGAGATAGTAAATACGTATTGTGTCTAGGCTGCTGCATTTCTGGTTAT